CGTGCGGGGGCGAGGGCCGGGCAGCAAACAACAGAGAAGGAAGTTTGCGCTGAGTGCAGGTGGTCACCAGCCTCAGAGGGAAAGGAAGCAGAACGAGAGAAACATTAGTGGCACTATTTTGGATAAAGGTTGTCCGGGACAGCCTCTCAGAGGATGATTTGTGAGCTGAGTTCCAAATAAGGAGGCACGGCCGACATGGGATGATCTGGTGGAAGAAGAGTGTAGGCGGGGGACAGGGCAGGGGTGATGGCCCTGGGGGACACCCAAGCTTGCTGTTCCGAGCACCGTGGGCGGAGAGCGCTGGTCGGGGAAGCTATGGTGGGAGACACGTGCCAGGCTGCGTGGGCCCCCTACTCCCAGCACCTACCCACTGAGCCCCTGCTGCATGCGGGTGCTGTGCTGGGTGCTGGGGACGTCAGGGGCCTTATGTTCCAGTGACAGGAGACAGAGGAGAGAATAATGGGATGTGTGGGATGTTTGAAGGTGAACCATGCTGGGGAGAAAAGGAGGCAGAAGAGGTGCCGGGGTGCTGAGGGAGATGAGTGGATTGCGGCTGTAAACGGAAAGAGCTGAGGGGGAGCCATGAGGCTCACTGGGGAAGAGCCTTCCTGACAGAGGGAACAGCCAGTGCAAAGGTCCTGAGGCAGGAGTGTCGTGCTTGAGGAAGAGCCGGGAGGCTGGAGAGGGTAAAGGCGAAAGAGGAAGAGAATGGCCCGAGGCAGGCCCTGGCAGGACTTTTCCTTTGAGGGAGACACAGCCACTGAAGTGTTTGGACCAGTGGAAGGTGCGACACGCTCTGACTTCCGCTGGAAAAGATTGCTCAGGCTGCCATGCTGAGAAGAGACTGTGGACGTCAAGGGTGGCAACAGGGAGACAAGGGAGGAGACGTGGGGGGGTGGGAGGTAAAGCTGAAGAAGCAGGCAGAGCCCCGAGTCTGGACATTGAGGCGGGAGCTCCTTAGCAGGCAGATGGCTAGAAGCACCCAGGAAATGCGTGGATGTGGACGGAGAAAAGGCCCAGACGACCCTGGGGCCCTTGGCCACGATAGGAGATGGGCAGCAGCAGGGGGACCTGGAAGCAGGGGTGCGGTGTGGGGGGCACGGGGCGCCCAACGGACAGGTCCCTGGGGAGTGGGGGCAGAAGAGAACAGGGCCAAACGAAGCTGGGCCCCTGCGTACCAACAGCTGGAGGGGCTGCGGCCCCGAGAGAGGGGCAAAGAGTAACCTAGACGAGGGGGACGGAGCTGACAGCGAAGGAGGAAGCGGGCCGCGGTGTCAGAGGCCAGGCGGTGGCGCGCAGCAGGCCTCACTCGGAAAGGGGAGGGAAGCCGTGGGGCAGCCCCCGGCCCCAGCCGGACCTGCTCCTGGCTGGCTGTGATCTAGAAGCCCTCTTTACTGGCCGTCTTTCACGTCTTTCTTTACCTTTAAATTCTCTCACAGTAACCTGGACCTGGGGGCGTCCCGCACTGCGCAGACCAGTGTGAGCGCCACCAGTCGGGACCCAGCGCAGCTTCAGCAGCTGCTGGGGTGTTTGGAGTCGCTGCCTGCCACACAGCGAGGGCAGGGCCTGACTCAGCGGTCAGAGAGGAGGACCAGAGACCCCAGGGGCGGCAGCCACGCGGGCTGGAGCCCGGGAAAGATCCAGGGACCAGGCGGGGGGCGTCTCTGCGCTCGGGGGCTGCAGGGAGACACAGCCGCAGCGCTTGAGGCGGGGACGGCTCCGCCCTGGAGACTTTCGGGAAAGAGGGGCCCCAAGACACGCTGATGTGCGGCACTGGGTCTGTGCCTGCAAGTTTCAGCCAGAGCCCTGCACCAGGATGCAAGGACTAGGCAAGGGGCAGGGTCGGCGGGGGGCAAGGCTGACGGTCCTCCTGGACCTCCTCCAGTTCGAGAGGCCCATTAGCCATCGACGGGAGGTACAGGAGCAGCAGATGCAGGCGGAGGCGGTGCAGGGGGCATTGGTGGCGTCGAGGTGGGCTGTGCGCTGTGGGTGGCACTCACAGCCTTGAGGGCAATGACATCCCTTTGGGCGTCCTAGAGATGGACAGGTGGCCTGAGGACACTGCCCTGGCCCCTGCGACAGTCCCAGGCCAGGAGAGGAGCTTCAGGAGGCAGTAAGGGTCACGCACTGGGGAAGAGCGCTGGACCCACCCAGCTGTGACCAGGCTTTCGCAGGGACGCGCTAAACTCCACGGTGGGGATGTCCTCAGACTCCCAGGTGCGAGCTCAGGCCTCCAGGGCGGCCCTCTCTTAGAAACGTTTCCCAGTTCCCACCAAACCCGTGTCCCGGGGGTTGACTGTGCCCTTCAGCGTGGAGTGGCCTGAAAACTCCCCATCATAAGACCAATCCCAGGCCATGTGTTAAGAGCCCAAGATTTGCATGCAGGGAAATGGAAGCTGGAGGGAAGCTGACTCACCGTCAGCTGTAAGACACTCAGGATGACTCAAGCCGACGGCGCACGTTGGAGTGGGCAGCCTGGCACCTTCTGCTGGTGACTGAGCGGCCGCTCTGCGCCGGGCTCTGGCGACAGGCAGCAAACGAGGCTAGTGAGGGGCATCAAAGTGAGTCTCTGATTACACCCGGGAGGAGGGCCCTGAAGGAGCCTTCCAGGCCAGAGCAACAGAAGCTGGGGAGGGAAGAGCCGGCTACCCTCTGGGGGAGCTGGGATGAGTTTGAGCAGGGGCCTGGCCTGATCACATGACCCAGGTCCAGGTGAGGGGAAAGGATGTAGCCAGGGGCACCGGGACACTGCTGGCAAACTTCCCACAAAGGCCTCCAGGGCCAAGGGTGGCAGCACGCCGCTTGCTCCCATTTCTGTGGCTTGAGGGGGTGGCTGGCTGCCGGAGTAGGTCCTCCACCACCACACAGCCACAGCCAGTGTCCCATGGGCTCTCCCACAATCCTGGCCCCAGAAAAGGCCCAAGTCATGAGGCCACATCTGCCGTGGCCACAATAAGTGAATTGTTTCTTTCCATTACAAATGGCAAATGATTGTCAACTTCTGTGTCACCCCGAGCTCGGAAGCCCGTCTGGGGAATGCAGGATTTAAGATATGGAATCAGAAAAGTCCAATGTTATGGAGCCCTTGGGCTCAGTTTTTGTTTTTGCACTTGATTGTGAGGTTCTCCTGGGTTAAACTGACCTAGGAGCACTGAGCTTGGCTGACCCCGGGATCCAGACACTGGAGGGTTGAAAGGGATTCATGGTCTAAACCAGGGGGCAGCAATGAACATTGGACATGTCCTTCAGAGGACACGGCATGGCCGTGTACCAATGAGACTTCATCTACAAAACCAGGTTGAGGGCCAGAGTTAGCTCTTGGGCCACAGTTTTCCGACACCTTGTCTAAACCAAGGAAACCCAAGCCTAGGACCCTGGACCTGGAAATGGCTTTCGAGCTCACTTCGTGTCCACCCACTCACATAGGGAGGCTCTGGCCTCCCCATCTCAGCACAGGACCAGCTGGCTAGTGCGAAGCCCAGCTGAAGGCTTCCCATCGATTCTGCCTCCTAGAAACATGAGGGAGCCCAGGCTGGGGGCCCAAGGAAGGAGCAGAGAGAGGCAGCAAACCGAGGAGACTTGAGCACATGTGGAGGTGAAGGCAGGACAGCCAGCGGAGGCCAAGAGGCTAGTTCTGAGAGCAGGGTCCTGTGGGAGGTGCGGAGGTCAGGGGTGCCTGAGCTCAGCTGGGGCCTCGGTGGCTGGGGAGCAGGGCATTGTGGGAAGCTTTTCCCCAGGGGGCACTTGTGCTGATCTGAGGTCTGCAGATGCCAGTGGGGCAGCCAGGGAACAAGGTGTAGCAAATGTGAGTGGGGGAAGCATATGGCCCCCAACCAAATTCCAGGGTCTGAAAGAAGTCGTGTGGTTTGGAGAGTGAAAATGAGGAGGGTGAGAAAGGCTGGAGAGGCGGGTATCGGCAGACTACAAAGGGCCTCTGATGGCAGGAGATGCAGGACGGAACGGTCTGAGAAGGGAAATGATGACCAGATCAAACACATCCACCTGGTGAATCAGGGCATCCGAGCAGGACAGGCTTGGTCGGTGTAAATTAAAAATGGGGCCATTTTCCATCTTGGATGCCTCCAGATGGGGGACTGGTAGGCTCTTAGGCCTGGAGCTCTGATGAGGGGCCTGGGCCGCAGTCCATGGTTATAGCCAGATGAGCCCAGAGCTGTGGCCAGGGTGAGGAGGTGAGCCTGGGGGTGTGCACAGGGAGGAGGGGGACAGGGACAGGCCGGGGCTCTGGGCACTCTGGGACAGAGTCACAAGCAGTGGAGGAGGTGAAGACAGAGAAACCGGTGAGGTAGGAGGAGGGCCAGACAGGGGCAGTGTCAGGGGAGCCAGGAGAAGTTCCCAGAAAGAGGGGCAGGTGGCCCCTGGGGGATCAAATAAGATGGAGACACAGAAGGGCCGTTGGGCTTAGCAGCACGGAGAGTGATGGGCAGATGTGTCTGGGCCTGGCCAGCACGGGCTGCTGCCACAGGAGCCGGGGGACAGGGGAGAGGGCGCCGAGAAGCCAGGGAGGGGAACCAACGCGTGAAAGGCCTGCAGTGTGCCCACAGGCTGGGGACTTTCTCTTGCCAGAAAGTTCCTCGGACTCTCTGGAAAGAGAAAGTGGAGAGCCCAGTGTCCAGCACTGTCCCTTTGCCCAGTCATCTTTCTGGGCTCCCACGTTGGAATCCCCCCCACTCAGTGCAGGGGAAGGGGCAGGAGGGAGCAGTCAGGAGTCCCGTGAATCCATTGCTCTTGAGTTCCAGAGTATCTGCCCAGGTCAGCCTAGAAAAGCCACCGCCATTCGTCCCGCATGTGCATCAGGTGACGGGAGGGAGACCGCAGCGGGGCAGAGGGCTCTGACTGTTCTGTTCCAAAGGACAGACGTTTGTCATGCGGTGACCCCTGCCGTGGGTGTGGGCTGCACTCACCGCTGATGGCCTCCTTCCCTCTTCCTTCCTCGCCCCCCCCCTCCCTCCTGCTCACTGGCCCTCCCCCTCCCCCTCCAGATCCGGGTGGTGAAAGCATTCCGTAGCTCCCTCTACGAAGGCCTGGAGAAACCCGAATCCAAGACCTCCATCCATAATTTCATGGCGACGCCCGAGTTTCTGATCAATGACTACACCCACAACATCCCGCTCATCGATGACACGGACGTGGACGAGAACGAGGAGCGCCTGCGGGCCCCGCCCCCGCCCTCCCCCAACCAGAACAACAACGCCATAGACAGCGGCGTCTACCTGACTACGCGCGGCACCAAGTCAGCTACCTCGTCAGTGTTTTCTTCCCGCCCCGGGAGCCCGCTCCACAGCGTGGAGACGTCCCTCTAAGCAGAACTGCTCTCGGCACGGCACGCGCACTCCCCGCACACACACGCACCCGGGCGGGCCGGACGAGGGCACCGGCCACGAGGAGGGCCTGCCAGGCCGCTGAAGATGCTCGAAGGCACCTGCCAGGAGCCAATGCATTCTAGGCTTCTTACTCAGGAGGACCAGGAAGGGGAAGGAGGAGGAAGGAGAGACCAAGAACAGTTGTGTTCCCCCCTTTTTCTATGGAAGCTTTTTTAAACGAACACTGTAATTCCACCAGATGTTCCCTGTTCGGGCTGTGCAGTGTGGCAGAGGGCCGGTTTCGGTTTATTGAGAGCTTCGTGGCACCTGCTGCAGAGCAATTGGATCCACAGGTACCAGAGGCGAGCACCGCTCTGCAGGAAGGATGCTCCCACCCAGATGGTCCACCGGCCCAGCACCCCCTCCCCAGGACGCGTGCAGTCAGCCTGTGTGTGCATGTGTGCGTAGCCACGTGTGTGCGCGTATAGACGTGTCCGTGCACACAGGACCAGATGCGTATCTAAAGGATAAGGAACTACTTAACGGCATGATATTTCCATTTCTCTTATCGGGTGTTTTCATTTTGAGATTTCATTATTTATCGCGGCAGGGTTTTTTTCAGGGAACTAGACTGCAAGAATAGCCTTCTGGTTGCTTGGGACGCCCCTCCCCCGCACTGCTCCCCTCCCCCCAGTCCCCTCCATCCTCCGTACTCCCAGCACAGCTCCTGGGAAGGCAGGCGCGAGGCCGGAGCGATTACAGTTGGAACAGTTGGAACATTTGCACTTTGAGACCCCTGCCTATAGAGAAAAAAACACCATTCGATGGAATTTTTATTTAAAAGGAAAATACCAAAGTATTGACCAGAATGATTCCCTCCAGTAGGCCGAAGGGGGAGTTTTGCTTTCGGTTTCCTTTGGTTCCAACTCCAATTCCAAGTCCTGCAATCTGGCCAGTGGGTAGGATTTCTTTGTCAGAGCCCCAACTTCAAGAGCACGAAGCCAGGCCACCTGCCGTGCCTGACCTCCTGGGATGATCCGGAATCCTGGCCCCAGGAGAGCCAGGTCCACGGGTGGAGGTGGGGAAGAATGCAGAGAGTCAGAAAGAAAGCGGAGACAGACGCTCCCTCCAAACCCAGGAGGAGCCGGCATGGCCGCAGCGCAGACCCCAGCCCCCTGGACGCCTCCACCTGGACTCTCGCTCCGCTTTGGCAAATGCCAAGAAGCTGTCGCTGAGACGCCCATAAAGCGACTGGGAAAGGTTCTCAGTCACCACCCGCAAAGCACTCTTCGGATCCTGGTGTTCTCGTTCAAGGGCATGCATTTGGGGCTGCAGACACCTACGGCGACCTTGGGGAGGCCAAGCCCCTGGGAGCGATGGTCCCTCGTCTCTGTCGCTATAATGGCGAGTGCGGAAGGCTGAGGAGGTCAGCTCTGCCACGTCATCGGCTGAGCACCTGGTCTGCAGGTGGGGAGAGCTGGGCCTGGGCTCCCCAGACGGTTCCCTCAGGAGCCTCTCCTGGCAGTGTGGGCACGCGGCGTGCCAAGCCTCAGTTTTCCTTGAATGCGCGACAACCGGGGTGGGAAATGCAGAAATAGCAGAGGTTCTTTTACCTTCAGAATTTTTCTGTCTCACATTCTGCAGGGAGGAGGTTGGGGTCCAGCCACGGCTAGTACAGGTGCCTGTCGCTCGGGCCTGGGGCTGAGCCGCTGGGGGACAGCTGGGAGCTGAGGGGTGGAGGGGCTCACTCCGCAGTTGAGCAGCAGCTGGACCAGTGGCAAGGCTGGTTCGCCCATCCCGTGCCCATCCCACAGCCCCTGGCCAGGGCTCGCCTTGCCTCCACTTGTGTCTGTGTGCCTCCGGGCAGGCGGCGTCCCAAGCGTGCTCGGTCCCCACTGTTAACATTAATGCCATGTCACCCCGGGCAAAGGAATTTCGGTTAGAAAAGCAAATCCCACTTCAAATGCCAGCTACCGATAACTTAAAGCCATCCCTTTCTTCCAAAGGGCACATTGAGAATGTTACCCATTTGTAAATTGTTCCCTAATGTCCTTGTTTAAACAACAACAAACAGGGCAACTCAATTTGTTGAGGGTCTGTGTGTTCTTAAACAAGAACTGAAATTGGAAATGTTTAAATTGAAGAATATACACTGAGTAATGCTATGCTCACGGGCTTCTTTTCATCCTCTGTTGTAGACACAAGCCTTGCTGCTGCTGTCCAAAGTTGCCTCCTGTACACGGCGATTGTTTAGTCCCTAGGTTGCCTTTCCTTGGGGTGTGGGGTGCAGATCGCTGCTCTCATTTCTGTGTGTCTTCAGGCCAGGGGCCCCATCTCGTTGGGAAGCCCCTCTCTCTAAAGCATTATCTTATATGGAATGGCTTGGTCAACTGTGTTCAGTTATTAAATCTGTTTTACATTTTTATCTGCCTGTTATAAAGATGAACAAAAATATCTTAATGAGGAAGACCACAGATACATAATAATTTAAAGTCTGTAGTTGAATTTCCTAATTTAAAGAATAGACCAAAATTTCTGTGTATTGAAAAAAAAAATGAAAGGCTCCCACAATCTCAGTCTGGGTAACGTGTGTGATTTATTATTTGGTGAATTCTCCTCCAGACCTAAAGAGAAGTGTCTTCCTCCCTTTACCAAGCTGGGGTGAGCCCCGGGGGGCAGCGGGGTTCCCCTGGGGTTGTGGCCACCTTGCCAATCCTAATGGAAGGAGGAGAGGGCTCGACCACCCTGTGGGGTCAGGTTCGCATGGTGGGCCTCAAACTGTCTTGACCTGGAAGGGCCTGACCTGAATCTCCAGGGTGGCATCCTCAGAGGAGGGTGGGAGCAGGGAACGCCACCCAAATGCCAGAACCCTGGCACACATGCAGACGGCTTCGTTTTTTATTGTGGAAAAGTACAGATAACATCAAGTTTACCACGTTAACCATTTTTCAGCGCCCAGCTGGGCGGCATTAAGTACATTCAGGTTGGTGTGCAGCCATCCCCACCATCCATCTCTAGAACCGTTCATCTTCCCCAAGGGAAACCCTGTCCCCATTAGACACTAGCCCCCCTCCCCCTCCCCCAGCCCGTGCCCCGCCCCCATCCTACTTTCCGTCCCTAGGAATCTGACGGCTCTAAGCAGCTCATACAAGTGGAGTCATACAGTATCCGTCCTTTGTGTCTGGCTGATTTCCCTGACCATGATGCCTTGTAGGTCCAGCCATGTTGTAGCAGGTGTCAGAGCGACCTTCCTTTTCAGGGCTGAATAACATTCCACTGATTGGATGGACCACATCTTGTTTGTCCATTCATTCTTCAATGAACACTTGGGTGGTTTCCACATTTGGCTAGTGTGAATCACGCAGTTGTAAACACGGGTGTACAAATACCTATTTGAGCCCCTGCGTTCACTTCTTTTAGGCAGATACCTGGAAGTGGAATTGCTGGATCCTATGGTAATCTTCTGTTTAATTTTTGGAGGGACGGCCAGACCGTTTTCCACGGCACCAGCAGCATTTTCTATTCCCCCCAGCAGTGCACGAGGGTTCCAATCACAGATTTCCTCTTTAAACCAAAGCCATGGAAAGAAAGCCCATTATTGCACTCATTCACTTGCTCCGAGCGTCACTGCCCCGTTCATTCCTTCGCTCACTAGGCGTCTTTGAACACCCGTGCTGGGGACAGCCGTGCCGCACCACTAGAGCCACGAAGGCAGCTCTGGCCAGAGAAAGCATTTTCCAGGGAAGCCGCCAAGAAACGAGCAAAATGGCTTCTAAGTTCCCTTCCAACCACCGGAGTCCATGCTTCCAAAGACGGCCAGAGACAAGTGGCGGAAAACAGCAGACGGACAAATACAGGAGCTCTTGCTTCACTGACGCACGAGCCACCTCGAATCATACTCTAAGTAAGCCTAGGTTGGGCCAAATGCCACATCAAGACAGCTGCACCTTCTGGAGAGATCGCATTCATTTATGTCTGAATTCTCTTTTCCGTGGACTTCCACTATCAAATATGACCCAGGTTCCCATGGGAAGAAACTGGTACTTAGCCAAATGCCTTGGGGCGAGGAAGGTACTATAACACCCATCCCTTCACGAAGCCGGACGCCATCTTTACCAGCTGGCAGCCTGGGAACGGGGGTGGGTGCCACGAGTTGGGGGAAGGCCCACGTGTGCGTTTCCTAGGCTGCTGTAACAAAGTACCACAAACCGGAAGATGGGGGGCGCTAAAGCACAGGCGTTTCTTCTCTCCCGGTTCTGGAGATCAGAAGTCTGAAATCAAGGTGTGACAGGGCCACGTACCCTCTGCAGCCTCTAGGGGAAGATTCTAGCTTTTTCCAGCTTCTGGCATCGCCGGCAGTCCTTGGCTTGTAGACACATCGCTCTAGTCTCTGCCTCCGTCGTTGCAGGGCCTTGTCCCTGTGAGTCTGTCTTCACCTGGTATTCTCCCTCTGCACAGGCCTATCTCTGTGTCTCTCTCCTCTTCTTATAGACACCAGGCCTATTGGACTAGGGTCACCCTACTCCCGTAGAATCGCATCTTACCTTGACAACACCGCAAAGACTATTTCCAAATAAGGTCCCATCCACAGGTTCCGGGGCTTAGGACGTGAACGTGTCTTTGGGGGTCACCACTCCCCATCCCAGCTGGAAAAGAAGAGATGGGTCGAGCCCCACACAGAACCTGCTTTGCCCCCTCCTTCCTCTGGCTTGACAGGCCGAGGAAGGATCAAACATTTATCACTTTACAGTAATTAAGACGTGCTCTGGAATGAAAAGCTCCTGGAAGCTTCAGGTTCTAGAAAATCTTATCTCAATCTCTCCTTTTTGAACCTAAAATAAAGGAGATGGAAGGTTGTATATCTTTTATAAGAGCCTCAGGAATAGGAAGCCAAAGCAAACAAAAGGAAACCACCCTGCACCAGGTTTTCATTCATATTCTGTGGCCGAACTGTCCTTACAAAGCACAGCTGGCCGTGTCACATATTCCTCAAAAGTGTCACATACGTCCCAATACCTGTCCTTATCTCTGTTCCAATGACAACACACACTGAAGGTGGGGCTCACAGCCTTAGCGGCATCAGGAAGACACACAGATGACCCCTTAGTGACAAGCACTGAGCTGACAGGCCCAGAGGCCAGCACACAAAGCCAGCAAGTCCCCAGGGCAGTGTGACAGGCACACACGTGGGTGGAGGGATTTTAAATAGCAACGAGCAGGCACAGTCTGAAGTTGTTTGGTCCAACCTGCTTGATTTACATAGTGGGAAACTGAGTCCCATCGAGAGAGGAACTTGCCTGATACCTGGGAATCGTGAGAGGAAACTTAGGGCCACAGAAACTCCAGAGAGGCTGCTGTTAGCCCCGCAGCCCAGAGCTCGCCCTGTTAAGCACGGTGGCTCTCGGCTGGGGTGGGGACACCAAGGGCAGTGCTAGGCCACATGGGGCAGGCAAGGCCGGGGTGGGGAGCAGCTGGGCCCAGCCTGTGGGGAGGAAGGGGGTGATGGAGGCAAGGTGCTTTTTAAAAAGCACGAGGCAGAAAGGACTGGCAAGAGAGCCGAGGCCGCCCTCAGAGGCCCGCCAGCCAGGCCCCTCACCCTCCACTGTCTGCGCTCAGAGCCCCGGCCCTGTGCTCCGGCACAGACTCTGTCATCAAAGGTGCCCCGTTGAGCTGGAAAGGACACAGTGGAAGAGGGGACATTTACTCATATCCTTCACCCTAAAGACAAATAACACAATCA